TGACAATGGCACATTGAGGTCCCCTCCTAAAATTGTGTTCCTGTGTATCTGATCTTGTATGTCCAGTAGTACTTACTTTGTAAAGTTTAGTGTGCCATTGTTTGATGTATATGTGTTAATAATTGTTTTCTCTATCTGTTGAACTGTTCTCTTAACCAGTGTGTAGTGACTTTTGCATCTTCTGATCTGTTTTGGTTTGAAATCCACTTTATCTGAAAATATGATAGCTCCATCTGCTGTTTTCAGGTTACTATTGCATGGAATATTGTTTTCTATCCTTCAATTGCTGGTCGATAAATTTTCTGTTAAAATGTGTTTCTTATGTATAGCATATTGATTATTTTTTGATCCATTCTCCCTGGTGTGTCTTTTGATTGAGAATTGAGATCATTCACATTGAGGGTTATTACTGGTAAGTGTTCACTTATTCTTGTCATTCCATTATTTTCCTGTTGCTGATTCCCTTTCTTTCCTTTCTATTTAACTGGTCAGACTACCTGTTGTGCTCACTCTATTAGACCTTGTAACATTGATAGCTTCCTTGTCTCCTTGTAGATCAATATCCTTGAGGATTTTTTGAAATGACAATTTGATGAGCATGAATTTTTTAAAGTACTCTATTATGTGAATATCTTATTTCTTCATCAATTTTGAAAGATAATTTTGCAGAATATATCAGTCTGGATTGGAATTTGTTTCGTTTTAGGGCTTGAAACACTTCACTCCAAGCTTTCCTGGCATTAATGGTTTGTGTTTAAAAGTCTGCTGTAATTCTAGTGGGTTTATTCATGCTTTTCTCTAATAGCTTTTAAAATCTTGTTCTTGTGTTGTACTTCTGGAATTTTATCTGTGATATGTCATGAAGAGCTTCTTTTCTGATTGTGGCTGTTTGGAAGTCCTACACACCTCATTTATCTTATGTTCTTTTCCCATGTAGCATTTGGAAAGTTTTCTGCTATTATTTCTGTAAACAGGTATTTTTATGCCCTTTGTTCTGTCTTCTGATTTTTCCCCATTTCCAGTTAATCTTGGATTAGTTTTCTTTGTATCATCTGAAAGAGCTGTTGGATCAAATTTTTATATTCTCTTATTTTCAAATTATCTCTGATTAATTGGTCACCAACGATAGCCCTGTCTTCTAGTTCTGACACTTGTCCCCACACTGGTCACTCCTACTGCTTTTACTTTTGATAGAATTTTTAATCTCCTAAATTTCTCTTTGGTATGTTTTATGAGCTCTAATTCTTTTCTGTGCTTATCTTTCATGTTTTGTCTTATTTTGTTTACTTCAACTGGTTTTTTTCTTAGTGTCTTCTGTAGACTTGCTGATCATTTGTTTATTAGACTCCTTATCTGTTTAGTTGTACTGTATCTTATTTGAGCTTACCAAACAATTTACTGATCTGTTTTGTGATCTTACCTGTTACCCTTTTGAATAATTCAATTGTGTGACTTGTGATTTCCTCCCTTTATCCCATAAATGAGTTTCGGGGAAGTTGGGAGTTTTTGAGAGCATTTTGTTGCCTTGTTTTCTTATGTTTCTGTATTTTTGATTCTTGTTTATTTGTTTGGTGTGTGTGTGTGTGTGTGTGTGTGTGGCTTGATTATAGTGAGAAAGCTTACTGCTAGTATGGCGATCTCTTTAGTTAATGTGTTTTTCAGCCATGCTTTCTGGGCATGGCTAACTATTGGCCTTTGCCTCTGTCCCCAAATTTAGCCACTTTCATTTATTTGGAGGCTGCATTTTATTTGGCCCAGCACCCAGTTTTCCAGCAATGAACCTCAGAATTGTTAATGGCACAAAGGCAGTGTAGATCCCTTGACATCCAGAAAAAACCAGTTAATAGCAACAGTTATGTCACATTGGCTATAGTAATAAAATCAGCAACAATAATAGTGTCAAATATAAACTGGAAATTAACATACCTTCAGACCAATAATGTACCACCCTTCTGCATTGAAAAGAGATGTATAATCACAGTTTGAACATGAAACAACTTTACCTCAACTATTACTTTTCAACAGTAATAGCAATTCAAAGATTCATAAAGCTTAATAATTATTCTAGTAATGGCCAAGGGAATGGGGAACCAGAAAATAAAAAAAGTAAAATTTGAAAAATTAATGGAAGATAAGGAGAAAAATACAATAGGGCATTCTGTTGATTTGTGTAAATTGTAGCATCAGCTTCTCAGTTACTATTGGGAACCTGCCTATTTGAGGGATATGGCAAAAAAGATGAAATAAAATGCATTTTATCTGTTCCTGAATAACTTAAGAAGTTATGGTCATTTAAAAAAAAACGAATAGATTTATAATGTTATGAATATAGCTCAATTTTCAGCTGAAAAGAAGAACAGATGTTTTCCTCACATTAAAATTGTAACAAAAAATACAGAATTGTTTAAATGCACATGAACAGAGTACAGGAGAAGCGATGGCAGTGGAGGAGTGTTCTCACTGAGACTGCAGACACTGTAAATGGTCACCTAACTGACAAACAGACGGCTGCAGTACAGGCATCAGGGAGAAGCAGGACTGTGCCTGATCCCAGCACAGGAAAACCCCGGAGTGGGGAATTGTAATTCTTGATGAATGTCAAAAGTTGGATTGGAAAGAAAAAATAGTTGCAAGTTTTTGTTAAGAGATAGCAGATCCCTTTTCCTTTCTAACCATAGTGTTATTAACCAGCTAGAGGAATACCTAATGAAGTGTGAGTTGGTATTAACTGGAAGGTATCAGAGATAGCAGAATGAATTTTTTCTACAGAGAAAAATTAATACTTGAGGCAGAGGACATTCTGGGGTATTTTCTTCTTGGAAGATAAGTGGGAAGTATCAGAGTCCTATTTTGTTTTATTCTATTTATTGTTGTTATTATTATTATTTTGTCTTTTTTTGAGATATGATCTAGCTATGCAGTTCAGGCTAGCCTTGAGCACACGTTGTACGATCCTCCTGCCTCAGCCTCCCAAGTGCTGGGATTACAGGCATATGCCACCACACCCAGCAGAGAGTCCATATTTTAACTCTGAGCTTTGTGAAATACTTATGTAGCAAGCATTGTACTTATGGGAGGCATAATTTATCTATAGAATAATTAAGTCCATATATGACAGTAAATTTTGGAAGTGTTCCTTATACTTAAAATTGGTTTGTAACTGTTGTAAAGAATTTTTCTAAGTCAGAGTAGTACACTGTGTTGAGTTACAGAGCAGAGGCCTAATCCTCTCCCAACTGTGTTCCACGATATTATGAACATGGAAGGGAATCTTTAAGAATGCCTGTTGCATAGGTGTTTGTCAGAGGTATGTTTTTATTTCAGTGTGTAAAGCTATCTGATAACAATCACTTCCGTAAGGTTGCATACCTTTTGGGATGTGATAATGAACTTTCTGACTCTTTTTCTTTCAGTAATTTGTAGCTGGTTTTTATTAATGCAAATTAGAAAGTAAAACACCTTGATCAGGACTTTGAAGTTATAAAAGCCTAATTGGAGCTTTTACTGACAGTCGTTTTTGAGGCTACGGTATTTGCTGATTTCTTTTGAGTGTCTCCTCTAGATTGATTTTCTAATCTTGTTGTTTTGTGAGCAGTTTTCTTAGGCAGTACAGATGAAGAGTTGTTTGATATTTTTACCCTGAATTAGAAGTTCTGTGTTTTTTCCGTTTGTCACCTCATAAACTGAGGCTGCTTCATATTCTTCACTCATTTTTTATTCTACATATTCAGTTATTCAATAAATACAGCTTTCCCATTTGTAACTGATACAAAGTCTTTAAAAAGGGTTATAATAAAGGGAGACAGAAGAGCTAAAAATAGAACACAAGTAAGGACTACCAAACTGGACAAGAAGTGAGTGAAGGCCAGTGGAGGAATTGTGCTTGAGTTGCAGGACACATGGATACTAGTCTGGCATAAGAGGCAGCCAGAGGGATCTAGGAAGTATAATGTTACGTGCCTGCTCTGTGGATTCTGAGTACTGCCATATGTTATGACTCTGAAGATACATGACAAAGATTGAGATGAAAAAGATGAACTAAGGTCAGATCCTGAGTTAATACATGTTCTAAGCCAGAAGATTGAATTTAAGACAAAGCACTAATGAAGAAAGATTAATGTAGCACAAACTGTGCTGTGTAATCACTTTGTCTTTTTAGAGTAGTTGAAAGCGTTGCAAAGAGAATGCTGGATTCTACAGAACCATACAATCAGTCCATTTGGCCTGTGTGCCTGCTGACAGGTTTTGCTTGCAAAGTCTGTTAAGACAACACTTGTAGGCTGGAAACAATGACTTGGTTTCTCCTCATGTTTTCTGTAATCATGCTGCAGTTTGTGCTGGCATTAAGAGGGAGGGGATAACGCAGACTGCAGGATAGTTGTGTTATTGACCAGTTCTTCTCTAATGCAGTCTTTCTGGTTTTCTTATTATGCAAAATGTTTGGTAACAATAAAAACACAAAGAAAAGTAGCACAGTATCATTAATTAAAAGTGCAGTGAACACATTGTTAAAGCATTTTCTTAAAAAAAGCTTTTGAATGAATGGTCATATAATGCATTTAAAAGGTACTTAAAATTTAATCATAAAAACAGATCACCTACAACGAAAACTGTGCTGTTTGTTGTGTGGTAGTATAGTAAGACCTGGTATTTATGAGAGCACTTTATAGGGAAATTTAAATTAGCAATAAAGACATCTCCTTAAGAAATTATTTAGAGGTTAAACATTATAGCCATATGTACAAATTTGTCATGAGTAGATAAAAATGGACTAGTTCTTCTTAAGAGTCAAATGAATAAAACCTGCCAAATACCTACCTGAGCTTTTTGTTTGAATTTTTTTCAATTTTATTTAATTTTTTTGATGACTAGTGGGAATTTTTTATAGTGCTTCATCAGTTTAATTCTACAGTGGCTTATTCATTCAAAAACCATAAATTCTTTTAATACTTGCTAATTTAATTTTTGGGTTTACTCACTGTTGACTATTTTTCATTTAGGTTATGCTTCCTCCTGGAGCCCAACATTCTGATGAAAGAGGTGCTAAAGAAATTATTCTGGATGATGATGAGTGTCCTTTACAAATCTTTAGGGAATGGCCAAGTGACAAAGGTAAAGAGTAAGTTCACTTGCTAAAAGTTACATATGTAACATGTCTAGTTTCTATACGATACATGTTCTTTATCAGATGATGTAAGATGTGAGCATTAATGTTTTCTGATGGCTCTTCGCCGTACCCGTTCCTCCCTGCTGTATAGACTTGCTGAGGTGTCTCCTTAGTGACTCTCTGCACTCAGCTCCCTGAGTCTTATACACAGATTTTGCTCACATGGTAACTCTGGAGGCAGAAAAGACATCTCACAAAGGAGCCATACCAATATGTAAAGTTACTGTTATCTCTCAGCAGTGATGTTGGCCAGAACTGTTGTGTAAGTTAGACAGATTTGCTACAGTAGGGAAATAACACCCTAGAGATTTCCAGTAATTTAGGCATTTTAGGTACAGGTTGAATATTCTTTTTGTGTAATGGTTTGGATCAGAGTGTTTCAGGTTTTGGATTTAGGTTTTGAAATATTTGCATATACAGAATAAGGTATCTTGAAGATGAGATCTAAGTCTGAAAATGAAATTCATCTATGTTTAATGCATACCTATGCACATAGCCTGTAGCTTACTTTTACTGTGCCAGTGTTATGTCTGATACCTATCACATGAGGTCCATTTTTCCATTTGTAACCTGTTGCCATTCAGAAGTTTTGGAATTTGTAGCATATTGCATATTCATGGATTAGGGGTGCTAAACTTGTAGTGAAATCATACTTGGCACTATTCAGTTTCCTCTTAATTATTTCAAAGCAGTAGAGGTTTAAAACTCATGAAAGAGTTTTAAAAAAATTTTTACATTTGTATTATTTTGAATTCTGAGTTTGTTAGTTGAATTAAATAAAAATCAGGTCAAATAAAATATATTTGCATGTGTATATTTATGCCAATGTGTTATGTGTATGTGTGTAAATATGTCCATTGATCATAGGTTTATCTAGAATGATAAGATTTATTTGTTCTTAAACTAGTGTTGTTTTCAAGCATATGATGTCCCTGGGTCGTGTCTCAATGTTAATTAAAATAATCTTTGCAGATAGTTTGCTGCAGTTTTTAGAGCATACCAAGGGACTAGTACTACCTTCATTGAGTGAAAGTATAAATTGGCTCACTTATTTCTCAGCAGATGTTATGTGTGAGCAGTTGACTGCCAGTCAGCTGGCCATCCACACCTGTCCATCTGGTTGATGTTTCCCAATGTCTCTGTTCTAGGGATTTTAGTCTTTCAGTTGAAGAGGAGGCCACCAGACTACATCCCAAAGAAAACGAAGAAACACAGTGAAGGAAAGCCCCTGAAAGGGAAGGAGAGAGCTGATGGGTCTGGCTATGGCTCTGTTCTTCCCCCTGAGAAACTGCCCTATTTAGTAGAGTTAAGCCCAGGTAAGAAAGCTGATCATTCCAGCAAATACTATTAAAGTACATTTTTAGCTTTTAATGTTTCTGATTTTAAGTACATTTTAGAAGTGTCCTGTTGGCTGACTTAACAGTTTAGGCTATTGTTTAAAGCAACTTTCGTAAGATGATGTTTACCAAAAAAACTATGGTCTTATAATACATGTATTCATGCACAGGAATAAAATTCATATGGACAAAATTGCAGAGAAAAAACTAAGAGAATGTATAGAGTGTTTTAAGAGATATTTAAGTGATCTATTTCCTTTTAAGAAAATATTTCCAAAATAACTTTAGCACCAGGCATGATAGCACATACCTGTAATTTGGGAAGCTTGAGGCAGGAGGATTACCTTGAGTTCAAGGCCAGCCTGGGTTACATAGTAAGTTCAAGGTCAGCCTGAAATACATAGCAAGACTTGTCTCAAAAGAAAGCAAAACAAAATAACTTTAGAAAAATAGGTAACTTACTCAAAACAACAAACTGAAATTTATTCTTCTAAGACAGATTTAATAGCATATATGTGTGGGAGAGGTTACTGTTTATATTGTATAAACAATTTCCAGAAGGAATGTCTTTAAACTTAATACATCTAAGAAATCCATATTATTAAGTAGAAGACTATTTGATTTTTTAAATAAAACACTAAGTTTATTTTCATATTAGGCCTCTGCATATATCATTTGTAGAACTCTTTTAAGCTGCTGTTGTTATAAGTCAGCCATCAGGTATGGAAATACATTGACATTCTTAAAGAAGTGTCTTTATACACACATACATCCTTGCATATTGTATATTTACATTGTGTTATCTATTGCGTATTTCTATATCATTCACCAAAATTACATCTTTTCTTATTTAAAATACTTATATGACCGCTACGAAGATAATGGGCCATCTTTCCTACTCCTGACTGCATTTAAAATAAAACCCAATTTGTAATTATGGAAAAACTAACCTAAAGGTAAACCAGTTGTACAGATAATATGCTGTTCCTTGAGTAGGAACTGTTTTTCTCTTTTTTGATTCTTAAGTGTTGATTTTTTTATTTCTAAGATTGATTTAGTTTCTTATAGCTGATTATTAGAATTAAGAATTAGTGCTTCCAACAGTCTTATGAGACAGCTGAATTACGTTACTATAGAATGGCATAGTTATGTTTGATGCTACTCTACTTAACAGTTGCTGCCAGGATAGCCCTGAGTAGTAGCTCTGAAGTAGGCCTGTTCTGCTCCTCAGTTCTGTGACTGGAGTTCATGTCAAGTTTCACTTTCTCACTGCGATTATAAAGCAAATCTCAGTACAGTGGTATGTCTATATAGTATAAAAAAGGATTTTGCTTGTCTGTTGGAAAGAACTGCAACAGTAATATAGCCATTGTTTTAAAACTTAAAAAATTTAGCAGCTTTTTTGAACATTGGGTCTGTCCTTTAAGATGTTGCAAAGGGCTAGGGATATAGCTTAGTGGTGTAAGTGCTTGCCTGGCACGTGTGAGGTCCCAAGTTTGATTCCTAGTACCAGAATAAAAATAAATAAATAAATAAATAAATAAATAAATAAATAAATAAATAATTTTGCATTAAATGCTGGAAATTAATGATGGTTTTCTTAAAACCAAATATTTAAGATTGAAGATTATAGCTCTTAAATTGATAAATGGTAGCCTTTGCTCTTCAAATGAGTAACTGAAAGTTGATTTTGATGGCTAGCAGAGACAGATTAAGCATTCATTCATTCAACACATACTTAGTACTTACTTTGTGTCAGGCATCATAATGGCCTCAGAGCTGGATCACTGACAAAAATAGATTAATCCTCTGATTTCACACTGTACTGAGGATTTCCATTTTGCCATAATTATAGTCTCATAGATGATCAGTATGTAGAATTTTATGTAGGTTTGAGAAGATGCTACACCCTAGATAGATTTGGTCTGTTTTCACCATATATGGGCAATAGCACAAGCAACATACTTACTCGTACATTTCTTGGTACTTCATTATTTTTAGTTAACACTTACTGGGCTTGTCCTGTAGGCAAGCGCAGGTAAGATTATCCCTGCCATCAGGTAATCTACACACTGGAAATAATCCCAGCACTGTCTCTTGTCTACACTCATGAATTATCTGGGTGGCTTGTGGGACGTGTCCTGCTGTCCACAGGTGCCTGTGATATAGAACTCTTCTGCTCTCCTAAGGGCAAAGGCTAATAGATCTGAGTGTTAGTTGAGGATTCTGTTACTCAAAGCTTTTGTCCTTTCAGTGAGGTGTTTTTATTAATCAGTCAAAATCAGCATGCTGAATGAAATCAATCTATTTTCCATTTATGAGAAAATAGGATTTCTACATTTGATATGTTATAAATGGATTCGTGTGATGGATACAGTGTCAGCCAAGTACCTTTTCTCAGTGTTGAGGTCCTGCCCAGGTGAAATAGGAGGTTTCTGAGAAGTGAGTGTATGCTTACACTGTCTTTTGGAGGAATAGGAGCAGGATGCTGCTTTGTTCTTTACACTGGATCTGAGTGTGTTCATTAAGCAGAAATCAGCCAGGTGGGTGGATAACCTTCTATACGGTTAACTCCCTCTTGCTGTCCTATTGCTTGGCAACTCACCTATTGTCCTGCTGTTTCCTTAACAGTCTACACTGGTTTCTAAAACACTGACCGGGGCACTACTGTACTCTTGTCCGCACAGCTCTGAGAGCTGACGGGTAAAATGTACCTTTTCTTCCTTTGAGACATGTCTCACTGAAGCTTACCCTCTACGTCTCTTCTCCTCCTTCCCCCTCCCACGTGTTCTGCATGGTCTCTGTCCTGCTGATGCTGCCTTCACCTGGGTCCTGGCATTATCTTAACCCCAGGGAGAAGGAGTCACTTTGCCTACTACAGCTATCACAGTTATGAAGGTAATGCTCTGCTTAATACTACGTTTGTAACTGGGGCACGAGGAGACCTCCTGGGTAAAATGGTATTAATTGATCAGATAATACATTTATGAAAAAAATCATTGTACTGTCATTTTATACATACTTATGAAGTGTCTGTCCTTTGATATTCATTTTAATTACTGTAAGCTTATTTTGCTGCTCTTGCTTTCTTAAGTTACCTTTGGAAGCAGCTACAGACAGAAAAGAGTGTGTGACAAAATTGTAAACTGAGAACAAAGTGCCTTAAGGGTGTGTTATCCTTTGTTTAAGCTTTGCTGTTCCCCCTTTGCACTGAGAATACAGGCACAGCATCTCTCATCTGAAAATCTGAAACCTTTGGGCACTGACAAGACACCCACAAGTGGAAAATTCCACACCTGACCCCATTTAACAGATTGTGGTTGGAAAATAGAAGTAGTTAATGTGTCCTATGAAATTGCCTGCAGGCTCTGTGTATAAGGTGTATGAGGTATGATCATTTTACTTTTTAGACATGGGCTCGCTATGTAATTCAGGCTGGCCTTGAACTCTGTAGCTTAGGCAGCCTCGAACTTGCAGCCATCCTCCTGCCTCAACCTCCACATTTAAAAAGTTTAGTATAATAAAAGACACATTGCTATTAGTCCCCCTCAAAGTACTGTCCGTTGGGTCGAACATACTTACTCTATTGTTCTCACCACTTTCTGGGATTTTGTTTTGTTTTGTTTTGGTACTGGGGTTTGAACTTAGGGCCTTGTGCATGTTAGGCAAGCTCTGTATCACTGAGCCATATCTCCAGCCTTCTTGCTGCTTTCTGAAGCAGTTCTGGAAGTCCTCTTTTGTGTCTTTATAAAGAGGTGTGATTAAAAATGTAATGACTGCAACTGCCAAGCAACATCCAGTGTGGAAAAGCAGACAGATAAAAACAGTGCAGTGTGCATTTGTCCATCTTATTCACTGGGTCTAGCACCATTCCAGCTCATCCTTGAAGTCAAAATGACCATGAAAGGTGAACATTATGAATTGATTCAGGATCTCAAGGCAATCATAACAGTGCAATTAAAGCCACTGTCTAAAGAGAATTTCCAGAAATCCTTCAGAAAGTGGCAGAAATAATAGATTTTGAGGGGGGAATAATGGCGATGTATCTGTTACTATAAATTAAAAATTTGAAATCTTAACTAGTTCTGGTCCCAGATTTTTCAGGTAGGGGACTCTGTTAAGGATACTTTTTTGGCAGATGTGCAGTGCAGTGGTGGGGTTGCTCCAAGCTGTCTTGTAAAGTTCCTACAGATACGTTGTGGTTTTCTCCTGGAAGAAAAGTGCTTAGGATTGGGCAGAAACCTTGCTGTGAAAGGGAAACACAGGGAATGTGTATTTAGGGGTTTGACTGCTTATGCCTGTGGATGCTCAGCTGCTGTTAGTTGGCTCAGGGACTGGCTGGCCACAAGAAAGGGGAGGAGGCACCAGGCACTGTTGCCTGCCCCTTCCACTCTTTCTGTCGCTGCTCAGACCAAATGGTTTTTTCCCACTGTGGCTGGGACGACCCTCCAGACTCTGCACTCAACGTACTTTATCTCAGGTTTCTTGTTGCAGTGCAGTGGTGAGGAAGGGGAGCCTGGGAAAGCGGCCTGTGACCCTTCTCTCATATTCCCTGGTCTGTTTTAACAGCGCTTTGCTAATTCCCAAGATGTTTTCAGTAGCAATCAAACATCAGAGGAATATTAATATGAAATTTTTTTCACTCGCAATAGATATATCTTTCTTTCCTGTGCTTGTATTTTTAACTTTGCGTTGAAATAATTTATCTTATTTCTGACATGGTTACTTATTTGCTCCTTTTCTTTTTATAGCTTGCGTAGTTTCTAACTATTGAATTACTTGGTTATCTTCATTTTTAATGTAAATAGTCACTGTTAGCATACTAAGACTTTATTGTGTACCTTCTGTGGACCACACATTGAAAGTTGTAATCAGGGAAAACTTAGCCACGTGGAACCCTGGGATGAAGCGGGGAGAATCTGTAGTTTTTGAAAAGTGTCGTTCATGGTACTGAAAAACAGTTGATGCAGCACTCTGAAGGACAAGAGAGAGTAGGTGATTAATACTGTCATGGTGCTTAAAACAAATAAAATAGTGGGCATTCCAGGAGGAGAGAGGAACTGCCCATGTTCACAAAAATCCCCAGATGAGTTCGATGTCTCATTTGGACCAGGACTTTATATAACAGCACTGAAAATAAATATTCCAACGGAAGCAACATAGACAATGAATCAGTTTTTGGATAGATGTTAAGCATTTGTATCTGAAATACTTCATTGTCATCTCTTCCTTTCCCTAGATGTCACAGATTCCTGAAATAATTCAGAAATAGAAATTTTGTCATTAGAATATTACTTTATTACTCTAAAAACTAATGACAGTAGTAACAAATTACGAATTTGTGGTGTGTTTTGTCGTGTAGAGTTCAGACTCACCAGGACTGAGAGAACTTGGCAGTCAGACTCTGTTTACATGCCCGGGCCTTCCAAAATGTTTAACCTCTGAGACTCAGCTTATGTGCCTGATGCCAGTGACTGCTGACTCTTTACTAAATTACTCTGAAAGTTAGCAGGCAGTCATGAAGTAGGTCAGGGAGACTTTCATTTGCCTTTTAAGGAAACTGTATTTGCTGTGGTACAGTTGAAGTCTGAAGTTGTATCAGAATTCCTGGATTCCATCAGGCATATTTTCTTGTAGATCAACTCTGAAATCAGAGAAGTCACTGGACACCCTCTTGTACCACTTGAGTGTAGTGGCTGAGAAGTAGGGGAACATGTTCAGTATATTAGAGTTAGCATCCTGGCAGTGATGTTTCTTTTTTCCTCCCACCTCTTCTCCATCATAGAAAGTCATTCTACAATCTAAAAGTTCCAACAGTTTAGAAAGGTTTAAAGTGACAGAAACCCAAACAAACACAATTTTCCTTTTTTTAAAATGCAAGTTCTATCCCAAGGAGCTAAGAACTTTGCCAGCAGTTTTTTTCAGACAAGGACATCAGATTCATTGGGGAAATAGTTCAGAAAAAGTCTTCCTAAGTCCGCATTCTGTGGATGGTGATCCAGGAGGTGGGTTGCTGTGAGAAGTCCACAATTACGAACTTCCACATTTGATTTCTCTATGTCTCACCAGCTGTTTTGTGCTGTGAAGATGCACATCTTTCATGGTGATCACACTACTAACCCAGTTCACCCGAGTCATCAACAACAATCCAGGGCAACCCATAGAGAACATTTACTTTTATGTAATGAAAAAATGTTGCAATTAGTAATAGTTTTAGCACTTTCTGTTACACAGAAGCCTCTATATGTACTTCTTTGAAGATTGTATATCCAGTGTGTTGAACTGTATGATGTAAGTTGGAGTGTTCTCTAAAAGAAATCCTGAGAAGTGGGACCCGTAGTTATCATTTTCATAAAGTTTTGTTTATTTCAAGTAAAATGACAAGGATATTAGACGGTGGATGAGCTCTTTCTTCTCTCCTCGCAGATGGCTCTGACTCCAGAGACAAACCAAAGCTTTACCGCCTTCAGTTGAGTGTGACTGAAGTTGGGACGGAAAAGTTTGATGACAACTCTATCCAGGTGCGTTATCAGCTTCCAGTGCAAACCTCTTGCTGTAGTTCTACATATTCAGTAGGCAGCATAAAGTAGAGAACCGGCCACAGGGACAATGAATAAATCAAAATTACTGACTTTCCGTTTAACTATAAATAGGTCATCTACTCTGAGTCACTTTGCTTTAGTGTAGAAAGAATAGTGTCTGTGTTTATGTCTGAGCTCACCCTCCAGAAACTTGGGTTGGTTATGACTGTCCTTGAGCTCCTTACTCTTTCTCTCCAAGAAGGCGATCTGCTTTAAGATTGGGGAAGTTCTTTTGGTGAGTCTGACACACAGCAGCAGGTCTTCAATAAGAACTAGCTAAATATAATTCTAAAGTGCTTGAAACAGAACTTGATACTTTTTTTTGAATATGTGAAATCAGGATTTGTCACTTTGAATTCAGGTAAATTATCTTTGCTCTTGTTTCTCAGTTCTAAAATGATAGGGCTTTTAATTCTATGATTCTTTCATTGCTAGCAAAGCAGTAAAACATTAAGTAGAGGTGTTTGAATTGTAGAGAGCTGTATAGATTGTTTTACTAACTGTGTAGGAAATGTTTAAGGTGACCACAATCATATACTGCTTACATTTTTCCTGTGATGCTGGGGATGAACTCGCGTTCTCACTCATGGTAGACAAGTGCTTTGATCACTGTACTGCACACCTGCCTTGATCATATGCCTTTTTCATTTTTGCTTACTCACTTGCTTGCATGTGTGCACAATTTCTGTCTCTCCCTGTCTCCTACTTTCCTTCACTCCCTTCCTTCTTGATACAGAGACTTGCTGTAGTTCAGGCTGGCCTTGAACTCACATGTGTCCCATGCTGGCTTCGAATTCGTGGCAGTTCTGCTTCAGCCTCTCACATGCTGGGATGAGAAGTGTGCAGGTGTCATATGCTTTTTAATGCAAAGTTGGAATATGCCTTAAGTCAGGTACTACTAGGTGCTAGAAACATCTAAATATTTTAACATTTCAGTAACAATTATTTGGCAAGATGTGGCAAAAATATACTACTGAATGTTTAAATTTTTAAGAAAGCATTTTATAGGAAAAGGCATACTGCTGTTTGCACATTTCTGCCTGCATGAACCAATGGCGATATATGCGTGACTGTCCCATCAGGCAACTTGTACCACTGTGGTACAAACAGATCTAATCACTTTTATTGGTCTTTTTATTAATAAAATTAATTTTAAAAACCAGCCCATATGAGGTCTTGAGTTCAATTCCTGGTATAAATAAATAAGAAAATAAAATGTCCAATGGGGCCGTTATGCCTGCACCATTGGTGGTTCAAGCCACCCAGCAACAAGATACATGAATTATGTAACCATTGTGAGTGTGCTCATTCCTCTTGAAATATTCCTTGTTGTTAAACACTATTATCCCATCATTCTTATCAATGTATATTTTCCTATAATAATTTTTTAAATTTAATTTTTATTTTTAGATAATTCTTTGTATCCTGTTTGTGGGGAATCCACTTAAAAACACCAAAACCCAGAGCTTGTTAAATTGTGTTGATTATAGGACAACTCAAAATTTTTAATTTCTGTTTTTAAAAACTATGTACTTCATAGTGAAAAATGTCTTTAATTTCCTTCTGTTTCCAGTTGTTTGGCCCAGGAATTCAGCCCCATCACTGTGACCTCACCAACATGGATGGAGTGGTCACTGTGACACCAAGAAGTATGGATGCAGAGACCTATGTAGATGGCCAGCGCATCTCAGAAACAACCATGCTGCAGAGTGGCATGAAAGTGCAGTTTGGGGCGTCACATGTGTTTAAGTTTGTGGATCCCAGCCAGGACCACAGCCTTGCAAAGAGATCTGTGGACGGAGGCCTGATGGTCAAGGGCCCACGGCACAAACCTGGGTGAATATGATGTAGATCATCCTTAAAGATTTATCAACCTTAAGGTTTTCGAGTGTGTTGAATATACTTAAAATAATTTGAATTAGGCTTTTTACTTTTTGTTTCAATTCTGTAAAAATCAAAATAGCATTTCTGATTTTGACTATTAAGTTGGGTAAGTTTTAAAGAGAAGAACGATGCTAATATCACCTTAAAATTAGAAATTTAGATACTAATTTTTAAAAATGTTTTATTGAAGTTTTTAATTTTTTTTCTTGTAACTGCTAAATATACCAAAATCTCTTGAAGAATTTAGAATCTTATAGCTCCACCTAGTGCCTTTTGTGAGGACTTGCAATGTGGCCACTTACTGGGAAACTTGTGGAGAGGAATGACTTCTCTTGGTAATTGATAATTTTAAAAATAAACATGGTTATTAGCTACTTTATTATCTGTTTCACAGGTTGACAGGATAATGATCTTGGAAAAATAGCTCCAGTACTCTTTCTTCATGGTATTTATGATGACTCAAAAACTCCACTGAAGTATAAACTTTCTATCCAAAGAGCAGAGACACAAACCAGTATGTTGGTAGACTTTTCCACATTGCTTTTCATGTAATTTTTTTCTATGACTTGCCTTTATTACCCTCCCAGAGCTTACACTTTGGGCCAGGTGTTAGTTACTATTTAGAACTAACATCTTTCTCCAAGATAAACCCTTGGTGTATCATCACATATATTTCTTTAGGCAAAGGGATGTTTGCAGTGTTCATGAGCTGACTAAGTCTGTCACCTGGAGCTAGAGGAGATGACCCTGCCTCATAACTCCCAAAGAGAACCAGCAAGCATCTTTACTGTCTATGTAGGAAAATCCATTTCTTTCTCTTTGTTTAATCTTTAAACTGAATGTGTGTACATTCATTCTTGTAGTTCATGTGCAAGATAACCAGTTTTAAAATATTCTTGTCTTTCTTTTTTTGGTAGCAAAAATCAGACTCAATACCTTGTGCTTGTCAGGCAGGCACTTGGGCCACTGAACTATATCCTCGGCCCAAAATATTGCTTTCTTAAAGTTGTGTTTTTTATTTTGTCTATTTGCTATCCCTACCTTTAGTTTAAATAGGCGCATGGAGTCAGGTTCGTATGTTTTCTGTTTGAATTGTCAGCCTTTCTTACACCTGTCTTCCCTGACACCTGGTAGGGTAAAGCACACTCACATCACAGCCTTCCCTCCTGCTTACTCCGGAGCTGCTCAGGGCTGACTGCAGAACCCCTTGTGGACCTCATGTGTTATTTCTCAGCAGTGCCTGCAGTTACAGTTTCATGTTTACAGTTGCACTTTATTTTTGCATCTACCTCTGTTTGAGTGTTTGTTACTTAACCTTTTACTGCCTATGTTTGCTACTATAGATGGAATTGTAGATACAATCTCTGTCCCACACTTGATCAGCCCTTCATCTTTGCTTTGTGAAGTTTTTCTGTATGTGAGTTAAGTCAGTCTCCCAGTCTAGTGTTGTTTCTTCTTACCATATTCCTGGCCAGAATACAAGACTATAGCTTGGATTTCAGTCTGGAGAATGTTGTGAAATTTTATTATTATGTAGTTTTCTGGCAAAGCTTCTAAACACAATGTAATGGCTCAATATATCATCCATAAATTAGAAGAAAAACATTTTTTATAACCATTTCGTCTAATGTCAGATCATCAATTTCTGAGTAAATACTATATACTGTAAAATGCAGATTCCATAATCTATCTTAGGCTTGGTTACCAGCAGTTAGCAGTGTTTAATGCTAATTTTAAGTTTAAGAATTTTAGGGATCTCAAATAATACCCCAAGACTCATATTTATGCATCTCTGCTGTGTCCATTGAATACCATAGTATGTGGTATTACCATGCTCTGAAAGCTGAAAAGAGAGTGATGCTTACTATCAAAAGTACTCAGTCAGAAACACTGAAGTAATGTTAGCCTTGTTCACCCACCCAGAGTACAATACAGGTGAGCCCATATTAAAGCATAAAAGAGGCAGCATTGGGCAAAGAAAACTTAAGGAGCTGTAGGATGTTAATTGTAAAAAAGAATCAAGAAGGCTTTAGTTATACTCATGTACTATTCCTAAAAGAAAGCTAGGGATGGTAACCTTTGTGTGTGTTTTTGGCACAAGGTGAGCTGTTGCATTTTTTATGTCTGCTGTCAGAGAGCAAACAGCTAAACTGAATCTTTCAAGGCACTGCCAAAATACTTCTGTGTTTTTTGTGAATATCTGGATGGCATGAGTATTCTAAATTTTGAAAACTTGATATGGGGCAGGGATTTAGCACAGTGACATAAGCGTCTGCCTGGCAAGCACACGGTTGTGAGTTTGATCCTCACTACTGCAAAAAAAACCCCAAAAAACAAAACAAAACAAAAAACCCAACTTGATATAATGTGTAAAATTGTGTACAGAAAGTTTAGTCTTTAATAAAAATTTTACTTTGCAAAAGTTACTATTTAAAGCATGGTATTATTTTGCATTGTAAAATAGTTTTGTTTTCTTAGTGACGGGGTAAGAGAAATTTGTGTTTGCTTTGCTAAATGTGACAAAATGAACTTCTATACCATTCCTTGTTTCATTCTCTAGATTGAGCTTAAGTACCAGCATACTTTAAAAACTAGACCGTGTACTTTTGAAACACTAGAAAAAAAGATAGGTCATTTTTTTCATTACTCACGTAGCAATCCAGGAAATTTAACCAGTGATTGATCCTGGTTGGTTTCTAGATGGCTTTAGTTCTCCTTTTTTCTCTGTTGTTTGAGATGAGTGGTTTGCCTTCATCCTTCATTTATGCCAAAGAATTAACTTGCCTCAGCTCTTTACTCTTCAAAATGAGATTTTGTTTGTATTCTGATTGTTTTTCTAATGATTATTTCATTTCATCAAGAAGTTTTTGAGATTTTTAAAAAAATTGTTCAAACTAAGCTAACTCTTGATTTGACTACTAACATTACCAAAAGCTTCCCATTCCCTTAGTGGCGCTCAAGCAGAAGGGTTCCTCACTTCTATGATCTCCTTTACCTTTACCATGTCTACAAATGGTTTTGAAAAAATATGATCCTTAAACTGTTCAGAATACACCCATAAGAAAATTTCTTAAATGCACCATTGTTTTGGCTTTTTTATGCTATAAGTTTCTATGGTGAAAATAAAGCAATTGTTTTAAAGTTTTAGAGTGATGTTGAAAAATCAAACCCAAAGTTGCCTCCATGCTAAGCAAGCAAGTACCTTTCCCACTGAGCTACATGACCAGCCCTTTTTATATTGAGACAGGGTCTTGTTAAGTATCCTAGGCTGGCCTCAAACTTGTGATCCTCCTGCCTCAGTCTCCTTAGTAGCTAGGATTATAGGCATGTGCCACTCTGCCCAGCTATAGAGCAAATTCTGGATGATCTTTGAACACCAGTGTATTTAACTAAACTGTTTCCTATGTTTTATGAAGAAGAAACTTCGACCTGTTGGTTGAAAGTTAATTCTCTGTTTTTATTTTAAATCTTGACAGAACTGTTCAGGAGACAACCTTTGACTTGGGAGGAGATGTTCACAGTGGAACAGCATTGCCAACAAGCAGGGTAAGCAATTACGTATTTATTACCTGAACTGTGCGCTTAACATTGTAGAACATCATGAACAGATATGCTGGTAAAATACTCATTACAGTATGATACAGTGGCCTTCCTCCATGGGTTGTACCATTTTGTTGTTTTTCTTGTAGAGACATGTGAAGAAGAGGTATGAGATTATTTGCTCTTTCTTGCAGCCAGGACATTGTGCTTTCTCCTCCACAAGGAGCATGTTTCCTAGACTTCTCTGGTGTGATATTAGCTCTTGTCGTAGTTACTTTTGTTGTTGCTGAAACAAAATACCCAACAATCAAGGTTAAAAGGAAAAAAGTTTTTTTTTCAGCTCACAATTTGTAGAAGTTTCAGTCCATGGTCATCTGGCTCTCAGGCAAGGTAGCATAACAGAGGAGAATCAGAGAGAAGAAATAGTTCATCGTCTATCCTGCTCCTGTTCTTACAGATGTCCACACAAGCCATATAGCACCCCCCGTTTCCCATCCAGCTGTCCTGCTCCTATGTACCAAGAGCTCTCTATAACCTGGATAGATCTCTTTGTGTATCCTTTCTGTCCTGGTTCTCTTCACTGACACATGTCACATAGCTGCCTGGATCTCTCATTCTTTGTATACTTATTTTTATCAGAGTGTAGATCATTTGCAGTTGTCTCTTTCTCCATACTCAGCTTTCTGTCATGCTGCTGCTCGCTGACATATCCACACAGCTGTATTGATAGCTCTCTCTCCACACAAACGTTGGAACTTGTGTTCATTGACATACAGTATGTTTGTATGGCTGGACAGATCGATTTCTCTGTACTTGTTTGTCCTCCTTCCTATAGTCATTATCTTGTGAGCATTTTCTTACATTTTTAAAAGTCACTTAAAAGCAAAATGCATTATAATATGCAACATATAAACATACCTAGTTTATTCATCACATTATCACTAGCTATACGCTTTTTTAGTAGTCTAAATAATAATGCTACCCACTGACCATGCAGTTTTTTAATGTATGAATGTATTTTATCTAATTGTTATATTGTGTATATATATATATTTATATATTGAAAATTGATATCACAGTACTCTTTACACTGATAACATTTTGAATAGTGTAGTAAAACATTGGCTTGATAAATTGTCATGAATAATCAATAAAATGTAATGCATTCTATAACATAATAAGGAGTGTTAAGATTCTTATATGCAAAAGCATTTTCTTTGAAAATTAGTTTTGTATTCTCATTTATTGAACATGTAAGAAACAAAAATATGTAAAGCTCAATGCTCATTTTTGGATAGACAATATGAATGGTTTGTATTTAGTTTCTTAGAGTCAATTTCTTACAAGAAATTTTGCTATCAAGAATTTTAGTACATAGAAAATTTTTAATATGTTTTGGTTTTCTTAGTGTAGGTAATATCCTTTTTGTCTGTCTGATAAGTTACTTGGAATGTGTGCAGTTTAAAAGTACTCAATATACTCTATTGGGTCAGCATGTATGTGTTTTCCATTTTTGTTGATAATGGTCAGGAAATAAACTAGTTTGTGTACTGGATTTAAACTATTGAGAGTAGGATTTCTAAGACTAAAGAACGAAGGACCCCCAAGTCTTCACTGTACGTATCTCTGACCTCTGACTTCAAAACAGTTGACTTTAGAACATCTTTTGGGAGTAAAACCACTGTTCTACTTTTTGAAAAATCATTGTGCTCGTATTATTTTTGTTTGCCTGTGTTTTATAGCCAACCCTTAGTTCTTTGAAAATGAAAGTGTCTAATTTATTTTAATGTCCTGTGGTTTTGCACATGCCACCATGGATACAGCATACTCAGCAGCATTGCGGCTGTGTCTGGCCTTGCCTCACCTTCCCTTTGCGGTGGCCCCATATCCGATATCTCGCTGCTGCACTAGTATAAAGCTTGTTTGGCATTGTAATGCATTATGTTTCTCTGCACAGAGTACCACTAGACTGGACAGCGACAGGGTGTCATCTGCCTCCAGCACAGCTGAGCGAGGGATGGTGAAGCCAATGATTCGTGTGGATCAGCAGCAGGACTATCGCAGGCAAGAGAGCAGGTAGGGAAAGTTTCTGATTTAAATGGGAGAGTGGTCCAAGCATTCCATCTCTAATGGCTTTGTGGCAAAGCTTACTAAATTTGTAGAGGTTCAGCTGACATCTTTAGAATATTCATAATAATGTCTTAAGTAATATTTTCTTTCTATGTTGCTATTTTTTTTTAAAGCAGAAAACAAAAGCTTTATCAGTAATTGTACTGTTCACTTATATGTCACAGTGTTACCAGGTTGATGTAGGAGACATACTGAGTTGCAATATTGTTCTTCCAAACTGGCTGCTTTATAACAACACCTGAAGGATAGGGATTTTTAATGAATTTCAGTATTTGATAATTTTTATATTTAAAAGAAACTAGTTATTTCATCAGTTTTTAGAAAAATTTTTACATGTTAAAAAATATAGCCAAAATGACTGCACATTTTGGTGAGCTATACTTTCATGTTCTGATGTAGTGTGTCCCCCGTTTGAGACAAGTAAAGGGTAAACTTCTGTTTTTGTCTTCTGGGATTGATCTTGGCTAGTTTTTTAGGGCAGAATAGTTCCCTTTTATTTTCTTAACATTTTTAATATGTATCACCTTAATAAATCAGAATTCTGTGTGTTCTCGTGACTTCAGGTTGTTTAAGTGTTGAGAAGTAGTTCAGTGCTTTAAACATGGTAGTTCAGCAACAGGTGATGGGTTCCAAGAGCTGACGGGAGAGCACTTCTGTTCTAGAGCCCCAGATGGACTCAGGCAGAAGTAGGGTAATACTATGTTACAGCCTGTCCTGTAGTTGTGGTTCTATAATCCCAACTCTCTGGGAGGCTGAAGCAAAAGGGTCACAAATTGAAGCCCAACCTGGAAAACTTAGCAACTTAATGAGACCTTGTCTCAAAGTAAAAAATGGGCTGGGGTAGCTCAGTGTAAAGTTTTGGGTTCAGGCTTAGTATTTCAAAAGAAAGGAGTAGGATGGGAGAGACTTTTAAAAAGTGTAATTACATGGGACTTTGTAACATCAAATGGGGAGCATTGCCTTGTGTGTCCTCTTTAGGCTTTTGAAGATATATTTCAGATTATTACCTGTCAAAGATCCCAGAACTGAGGAGGCAGGTGACATGCCTAGCATCACCTATTAGATCAGAGAAGCAGTTACACTTTCTCCTCATCCAGCAGAGGGCACAGTGTACTGCAAGCTTTTAATACCTCCCGACTTCTTAAATACATAGATTCATCAGGGAATGCCAGGTTTTAATTTTTATTATGGATTTTTGGCTGCTGTGCAAGATTCTGTTGAACCAGTTTACTTTCTGTGTTTGTACTTGTTTTTGGTGGTATAGTGTAAGATTTCTAGAATGGAAAATTACTGTTACAACACATAGCTCTGCTTATAAAGTGATTGAGAAATACTGTTTTACTTGTCACCTCAGATGTTTAAAGGAGTGCATAAATCCAAATGGGATAGGGAAAAGGTTGCTTAGAATGTGCAAAATTAATAAATATATGTAGCTTGTCATGTTAATACAGTGTTGTAATATCCATGTGCCAAAAAGTTATTTTTTCCATACCAAACATTTTAATTAAATATTTTGCAAGCTAAGAGTAGTTTGTTTTATAAAAATTTAGTGAAGGTTTTGATTGAACTATGAATATGACTTTGCTGTTGTTAAGACAAGATGGAGTATATAAACCTTTCTTCCCATTTTCACTATTTTTCATACTTGGAGTGTTGGAATAAACAAAACTTAATTTAATTGGTGTGGTTATAATATACGAACCATTTTAGTAAATGTAAGATACTAATTTTGTACATGAAAAATCCTTTGGGTGACTGGAATGACTTTAAATTTTTTTTTAACCAATTCCAATTTAAATTCCTTATTTTTGCCAGGCTTATTAAAACTACTGAATAATTGATTGAAGTCATCCAGGTACACTTTATAGGACATTAAATTGAAAACAACTTTCTAGCTGTGACTTTAGGATCTACAAATACAACAATAAATACATTGAAATAATTGGACATTTATATTGTTTGTAAGAATATCTTTATTTTGGGGCTGGGGATTTAGCTCAGCAGCATAAGTGCTTGCCTTGCAAGCAGGCAGTCGTGAGTTCGATCCCTGGTACTGATAAAAAAAAAAAAAGAATATCTTTATTTTTGTAAACAAGTTGAATACAAATCATTAAATCATAAATTGAAAAATAAATTTTGAAGGCCTTAATTTGGCTATTTTACTTTGGTTTTTGATAATCTTAATAGTTTATATGAACTCAGATTACATTCGTGCTCTTTACTCATCTTTTGATGCTTGGAGAATATGAGAACAGAGGGAAGAAAACTGTTTGCTGTTGGAGAAGAATTATGTTAAGCCAGTCTATAAACTATTAAAAATCTGTCCTGACTCATGCTTGTTTGTGGAGAAAAGTCTTTCCTTATTTCTAGTAACTTGTTCAGTGAACGAACCAACAATTGCAGACCATTTGTAGCTGGTTAAGGTTTCTCAGCTGAAGCATTGCTGTGACGATTGACTGTTGTTTTAAATGACTAGCAAGTAATTCTGCTTCAAATATTCTGACAACTCTGTTGACCTTCTCTTTCACCAGAAACAAGTGAAATTTGAACACCTGTTTGATTTAGTGATATTTGAACACCTGAGTTTGATTTAGATCAGTATTTAGCTTAGTAGATATTTTCAATGCAGTGTAGGTCATCATAATCCCCACTATTCAGTGTTTAGTGAAGTTTGCAGAGGGTAAACACATGCTTCTTGTCTTTTGTTGTTTATTTTTTTTAAAAAACAGAATTTTTTCTGATCATTTCTGTTATAAAGTTTAAAATGACAAAGATATTGAAATATTAAGGAGGCTAATGACTTGTCTGTTTGCTTGGCTTTTAGTAAATATTATAGATAAAATATAGCTAGTAGCAAACAAATGTGGAGTAATACTTTAATGGCTCTTATCTAAAAGTGAAAAGTGTTTAAACAACACTATCCATTAACAAAAGTATAAATCCATTAAGATAAGGTGATTTAAACTGGATTTTTAATTATTTATCTTACAGTGTTTTTAAAAAGCAGTGTTTAGCAGTGTCTTTTAAATGATTTTTCACCATCATTATAACACAAGATCGTTTTCACTTAGCTGGACTCACATGTATAAATGTACACTTTTATAACTGGAAAAGAAATTGCACAGAACAATGCTCACCCTTACACCTTGCCATTGGCTGAGGACCCACTATTTGAAGAAATTTCTTGAGAAACAGAAATGTCCCTAACTTTCGAATTCATTTTGATGCGGAGTATATGGATATACATAAACATTAGCACTATTCTGCTTTTTACAAATGACCCAAATTATAGTTCCTCTTGATTTGTACTTCTTGCTACTTTATTTTTGTAGTGTTAGGCTAAACGATGAAAGATAACTTGAAGTTTATATGACCTGGCTAAAAAACAAGTGAGTAGAATCTCTTTTTAAGGCATACATCATTGAACATTGGAAGGGATCATACTAAATGACTGAAGGAAACTTTAGGCATCATCTTGTCCAACTTTGTGTCAGAAGACGAAGACAGATGCTATCTAGCCCCTTGAAAAATGCTTTCTTCCCAGTGTAAGGACTCAGTTTCCAATGCACCTTTGCTTTCCTTTTCTTAGTGTGTCTCAGTGGTGTGTCTTTTCACTGTTATCTGAGCCATAGCTATAGCAGCTGCTGGACAGCTTGATCCCTTCCTTAGACATGAGATGTATCCAGAATCATGTGTCAGTTCTGCTCTCAGGATGGAAGCCTATACTTTAAGGATCTAACTTCTGTGAGGAGTTATGAAAAGAGCACTGCTAGTCCATTCATCTAGATGCTTCACTAGGTAATACATGAGGCAAAAAATTTGCTACTTATTTACATTTGAAAACTCTGTAGAGAGATATTAAAAAGTTGTTGACTGTATTTTAAGCAGTGTCAACTTTCTTTCTTTAGATCTCAGGATGCTGCTGGGCCTGACCTGATACTGCCTGCAAGCATTGAATTCAGGGAAAGTTGTAAGTAACTTCAGGATCTTTTGTTATTGAACTATTTCTTGTTCCACTTTTCTCCATATGACTTTCTGTGGTTTTTTTCTTTCCTAAAATCTTTTTACAGCCGAAGATTCATTTTTATCTGCCATTATCAATTACACAAATAGCTCTACAGTTCATTTTAAGTTGTCCCCTACGTATGTATTATACATGGCATGTCGGTATGTATTGTCCAGCCAGCACAGACCTGACCTCAGTCCTACAGAACGCACGCACAAGGTCATCGCTGTCGTCAACAAGATGGTGAGCATGATGGAAGGGGTCATTCAGGTAAGCTCCAGCCTAGAGTCCCAACAGGCTATATTTATAGTGAGTTTAGAGTGGTGAAGGAGGTTCTGCAGCATAGCTGATCTGGTTACATGTTTGACTGTGTTTTGAGATTTTTTTCCCCCCTAAAAGTTATATATAAAGAATTTTTAAAAATGTATAGCTGTGAAAAATTGAAAGTTAATCTTGTTATAAATTCTAGAATAAGTGAACATAAACTACATGTGATAGCATAATGATCATGAGAAAAACTTTAAAAACTGCAGGAATAGTTTTTTGAGGAAGTGTTGAGACAGTTGTGGGTTTGCTTAGAATTAGTAATTTGTTAAAATTAAATTCATATAAAATTAACTGGATTTTTTGATGCAAATAGAATTTAATGCATTTACAACGTTGTGCAAATACTACCCCCACAACATTTTCATTGCTCTGAAGTAAAACCCATCTTCCTGGTAATCACCTTCTAAGAATTTTTTCATGGTTATAGAAAGCACTTGCTCCTTTCTAATGAGCCCACTATGATGCAAATACTAATTGCTTTTCTTTTGACAGTATGTATCTGTCTGTCTGTCTGTAGAAATGATGGACATCATGATTAATTTTTCACTTAAGATGAAATCTTTTCTAAGCTTATTTTTGAAAATTTCAGGAAATAAGAGTATTTTGTTGATAGAATGATTTCATTCCTTTAAGTATTTTGTTGATCTTTAGTTGATGAAAGTGGGATAGCAGTATATGCTATCTTCAAAGTTCTTAAAACTAAATTTATAAGTATTGTAAAAGTTTTCCTAATATATTTGCCAGTGTTCTTACTCAGCTATAAAACTGTAGTAATGTTGTAATATGATTAAGTGGCGTGGTTGTATTTCAACTTTCAGGATCATTTGAGAGAAACTAAAATGATCTTTTAATCCCTTGAGAATTGTTTAAAAAGTCACTATTTTCAAAACATGCTTTTTTTCATGTTTGAATGAGTCACATTATAATAGTTTGGTGGGGTTTTGAGTGCTTTACTCAAACTAGGAAAAGGAAGGTCATTTTATTTGAATACCTTTTTGTTACTCTGGTGTCATTGTTTTACGAACAAGCATGGATTTCCTTTCAGTTATCACTCCAGAGTCATTGTCTGTCTCCCATCACGTTTGCACTTATAATCCCATTTTCAGACTGGGAAATTCCCCATCACACTGCCTTGAGACTTTCCTTGCTGGCGTCTGCTGGACAGAGCAGTCACCACCACTAGGACAAGTCTTTAAGTGTGAAATTTAGGATTTATGTGTGCCTGGAGAAGTCTCAAAAAACTGTCGCAGCAAATAATTTAAATTTTACTTTTGAAAACTTAATTTATTCTTTTTAGTTTAGGTATGAGTTCCTTATATATTTATAAATTTTCAGCTTTTATTTTGAGGTTTTTACTGGTCTTTCCTGTCTCGTCTAATTAATTCAGGGGAATGGACTCTCTTATGCACCTTTAAGTAGTAAGCATTCAGTGTCATTCAAAAGACATTTAGAAGTCCTTCCTTTGCAAATAATTTAAGGAGATCAGTATGTTCATCTGTATTTTATTGTGACATCGTTATAAATTCTATAAAATTCATTTGTGCCAATGTTAAGAGCATAAAACTAAACTTTTATGTCATATACTTCGAAAGCTGCTTCAGAACCAATAAATGAAAATGTAATTTGGGAATAGCGTAACTAAATGTTGTACCTTCATGTCGTACCTTCATATTAGTGTTTTGATTTTTTTTAAACTATCATGATTGTTTACAAGTTTCTTTCTCTCGTTCTGCTTGATTTCCCCTCGTCTGTTTTTCTCCAGGAAGTAGACCAGGTTGATCAGGTAGGACATACTGCTGGGAGCTGATCCTAGCTATGTTGGCTTAGCTGAGTTTCTCATGCTGCTTTCATGTCAAATACAGTACTACAGCAACTGGACTGAACAGTTCATAACACTCATTCAGCAACTGAAACATGCAGTACTAAAATCCTTTTTGACTGTGCAACTTTTATCAGCATTTCATAATTTCTGCTTAATGCACTTCAGTGTGGATATGAAATGACAAAAGTTCTGTTTCTTCTCTTTATTATTTATCCTTGGTTCTTATTCTTTGGATCTCATCTGAGGTTGCCTGGTCTGCACATGTGGTCGGGAGAGGACACAATAGATCAGTATTTGATACTGAGTTGCATGGTGTCCTAGCCAGTGACTACAAGTATCAGGGTGGCTGTGGGTGACCATGAATACATGTGTGTATACCGCACAGATTACCAGATAACGCATAATCTGCAATTTGGCATTGTATTATTTGAAATCTCCATTTTCCCACTCATTCCATTGACTGCAGCTAAATAGATCCACTTGTCTGGATGTAAAACTGTAAAGCAGATGCAGTGGTTGTTGCTTTCCACTGCACTGTGAATACTCAAATTCCTTTGCAAGTATCTGGTATCTGTGGTAAATACCTGGGTGAAGATGGGAATGTACTGGTTTATCTTCAGCAGCTTTTCAGGAGCATTCCTGTTTGTTTTTATTACTTTAGTTTGTCTTGTGTTGCTTATGGAAATGTGTTCTGTCCACAGAAACAAAAGAATATTGCAGGGGCACTGGCCTTCTGGATGGCAAATGCATCTGAACTTCTCAACTTCATCAAGCAGGACCGAGACCTCAGTCGGATCACATTAGATGCCCAAGATGTCTTAGCTCACTTAGTTCAGATGGCATTTAAGTAAGGAATACGTGTTTAAAGATGACACTATTCTGTAAAGCTAAATCACACGTTTTCTTGTATAGTTTTAAAAACTAATAAAGTTTTTGCCTACCTTAACCAAAGGTATATCAAGCAATATAAACAAAATGTGATTTAAGAATATTGAATTCACTGAGCTATGTTTAAAGATCCTCAGGTTACAACTTTATTTTTTTAATTAAAAAAAATTTTTTTAGCACCAAGTACATTCATCAGAACAGAAGAAAGCCATGAAATATCCCCGCATCTTCCCTTGATACAACTCTTTTCTAAAAATAGAAAATGTTTCAAAAGAATACAGATTGTTTGACGTGTGATAACATGTCTACAGTAGCAGTATGTTGTGCTGAGATTATTAAAATTGTTTGCATTTTTTTCAGATACTTAGTTCATTGTCTTCAGTCAGAACTTAATAATTACATGCCAGCCTTTCTGGATGACCCTGAAGAGAACAGTCTGCAAAGACCAAAAATAGGTTAGGATATTCTTTGTTCCCTCTCTTCTTTTTCTTCACATTTAACTTCATCTTAATGTTTATTATACTTATGGTGTGTATTTTTTAAAGTAATAAGAGACCTTGTTAGATTTTCAGTCTTAAAAATAGTACCTTTTAATTGCCATCTGTTTGGTGTATTAATAGTTCTCATTTTTGGTATGTCATCCATATCATACCTTTTAAAAAGTCTTTGGGCTGAACTTACACATGATATAATGACTCTTCATAGTATAAAACCCTGTCACTGATTCCTGTGTGAAAGACATTGATATTTTGAAATGATAGCTTAACTGTTATTACCATAATTTCCATTGTCTAAATTCGATGCAACACAGAAGGTTCTTGGATGATATGTGGCCCCTGTCTTTTCGTCTGTGTCCTGACAGATGATGTGCTGCACACGCTCACGGGAGCCATGTCTTTGCTGCGGCGCTGCAGAGTCAATGCTGCTTTGACCATCCAGCTTTTCTCACAGCTGTTCCACTTTATCAATATGTGGCTGTTCAACAGATTGGTGACTGACCCAGATTCGGGGCTGTGTTCCCACTACTGGGGAGCAATTATCCGCCAGCAGTTGGGACATATTGAAGCTTGGGCAGAGAAGCAAGGGCTAGAGCTGGCAGCTGATTGTCACCTGAGCAGAATCGTACAGGTTTGTGTACATGATTCCTACTCCAGCAGTAGTGTACTCTATGGTAAATGTATCAAATTTTATGATGGACAAGAATTTTGATATAGCAAAGCCTCAGGACTCTGTCGTAGGGGTTTTCCCATGTATAAGTAGTGGAATCATGATGTGCTAGAATCTGGGCCACCATATTAGCGCTACAAACCCAGTGACTTAATAGAAATTTATTTCTCCCAGTTCAGGAGGCCCGAAGTTAAAATCAAAGTGTTGAAAGCTGGTTCCTTCTGAGGACAATGAGGGAAAAAATCTGTTCCAAGTCTCTTCCCTGCAGCTTCTGGGAGCTTACAGACAGACTTTAGCGTTTCTTGACCTGTAGATATATCATCCTGGTCTCTGCCTCTATTTCTCCATGGCAGTCTCCTTGTGTGCATATCTGTCCCAGTGTCCGCTTTATGTAAGCACACTTGCAATACTGACTAAGCTCATCTCAACTTGACTGTCTCTGTAAAGATCACAGCAAATGAGGTACTTTCTGAGGTCCTGGCAGTTAATCCTCCAACGTAGAAATTTTGAAGGACACAGTTCAACCTTAATACTATTGCTACTAGTATGCTAGGTAACCAGTATCATATAAATATCTTTAAAGGATCCTTTGTTTATTGAGCTCAGTAAGGCATATTTCACAAAGCTCCATACTAAAAGATAATTAACAGCTTAGAATACAACAGTTAAGAATTACAAGTAATGAACAGTTAAGAATACAAGCCAAATCATATCCTAATGTCTTAACCAGCTCTGAGAGAATTTTTAAGATACCCAAGACTAGGAACTGCTGTTCTGAATTCAGGAAATGAGTAATCTATAACTTTAAACTCTGGGACAATTTTTTTGTTATTTTAATTTATTATTTAACTTTGTTCTTGATTTATTTCCTTTGAAGAGACTTGGTATTGAATGATTAGTTATGAAAGTTGTTATAAAGAAGTCATTATATCCCTGAAATTGGTTATCTTATTATGTAAATGAGTAAACTTTCAAAGGATTTTTTTTTTTTTTTGGGTACCAGGGATCAAACTTATGACCTGGGCACTTGCCAGGCATGTGCTTTTGCCGCTGAGCTAAATTCCCCGTCTCAAAGGAAATTTTTAAAAAGCATTGTGAACATTAGTAGTTGAATCTAATTATGTAGTAAAATCTAAAGGGCATCTAAAAGCTTTTGTAAATCAATATATAGTTTAATTTAATGTTAGTTAATAGTAATATAAAAAATCTTTATAAATATCCTGCACATCAAACAAAATGCAATTGGTGAGTTATTAGCTTTAAACATAGTGCATAAAGGATTTTTTGGGGCAATGTGCACTTGAACCCAGAGCCTTATGCATGCTAAGCATGTGCTATATCACTGAGCTACAACCCTAGCCCAAAGGATATTTGAGCAGTACTGTACTTCTAAATATTTTGTACCATTTGTTTTTTTTTTAAAGGCAACCACTTTACTTACCATGGATAAGTATGCGCCTGAAGACATTCCAAATATAAACAGCACCTGCTTTAAGTTAAATTCACTGCAACTTCAAGCCTTATTGCAGAATTATCACTGTGCACCCGATGAGCCTTTTATCCCAACAGTAAGTGAATGTTGCTATATTATACCACGGGGTGTAGGCATGTTTGGACAGAAACATTTTGATTTATTATAGAAAGGAAAACTTATTTAATAACTTATTTTAATGTTAACTTATTTAAAATCATGAGATCATTTTGCTGTTGATATCTGAGATGGAGTTCAGTGAGGGGAACAGAAATTACACATGCAGTTTAGCTAAAAAGTGACTTAAGCTCAGTGATTGCTTTTCAGGAAATCTTAGGAAGAACCAGAGAAAAAGGGGTTGGAGGTTGTCCCTAAACTATTGAGTTCAAGTGTCTGCCACTTAAATACCACAGGGTCAAAGCTGCTGCCACAGTGACAAAAATTTTTTTACAGCATTGTCATGTCTGCACTTAACATCAACAGTAGCAGCACGTGAGCCTTCACTGTATGGCCACAAACCTTACAAAAAGGTGTCAAGTTGTAAAATTCAGTCTTATCCTGAAGAGAGCCTAGGGTTTGGGCATGTCTCCCACACACTGAAAGGAATGGAGGGTGAGAAATCCATATAACATCCACTACCATTGGCTGTCTATTCTGAGGGATATGCTACAGGTATTTACCATGAGACTCAGGCATATCCTAAGGTGTGCATAAACTGACAGGTACAAGATTTCCCAAACTGGAAATCGCTCTCTCTGAAGTACAGTGGATACATAAATCATGCCAGTCATATAAAGGAATACTAAACTGCAATGCGAATGAACTATAGTATATAGCTTGATGAGCATTATGATATAATTAGCACAAGAGAAGTCAGATCTAAAGTGTGTATATCTGTATGAATTTCAAGAACAGATAGAATAGTCTGGTGTTAGAAGCCTTGCTAGCCGGTCTCTTTATGTAAAGTAAGGGTTGTAGTAGGGAACGGGGCATACTTCTGGTGCCAGTGTTCTGTTCATGGACTGGTGGTGGACATGGTCATTGAGTTGGTGTCTTTATTTCACTGGGATACACAGTTATGATTTTCAGCTTTTCTGTATAGATAGCATATATTAATAACATGTATTCAAACAAAAGTCACCCTTAAGCCCATATTCAGAAATACATTCTGTTGATCTGTTTCCAAAGTGGTATTCTGTAGGTATTTTGTCCTAGTTTTTTTATATTTCACATCATATAAGCTTTTCTTTTGTCATTTTTATTAATTCTTTAAATCAACAAAAATACAGTTACTAGTAACTGACTCATAAAAATGTTAAAGAATGTATGAAGAAATGACTATTTTGGAAAAGGGAAAAACATTTTCTCATTAAGCAGTTTTTATGTAAAGTTATAAATAATTACTCTCAGTTTGTATTTAAGACGTTTGCCTTCCATGTGTGTTCTGAGTGTATTGGATCAGTTGGTCTCCACCACAGTCCTGCATCTGTACAAGTCTTAAGTGTGCTGTAGTGATTTGAAATATTTGGAATATTGCTGAATTGCTCCAGTTCAAGCATGTGTTTGTGAACTAGTACCTATGTCTCAACAGGATCTTATAGAAAATGTGGTGGCTGTTGCTGAAAACACAGCTGATGAGCTGGCCCGCAGTGATGGGAGGGATGTACAGCTGGAGGAAGATCCTGACCTGCAGCTGCCTTTTCTTTTGCCAGAAGATGGCTATTCCTGTGATGTCGTCAGAAACATTCCAAATGGTTTACAAGAGTTTCTAGACCCTCTGTGCCAGAGAGGTAAATGCTTTTGACCACACCTGGATCTAAGCTGTGACCCAAGTTAAAGGCAGCCTTTCATTTGCTGTCTGTCTAGCAGCCCACTCAGTGGGAGTGCACCTGTGTCTTTTGAATAGTTTGTTCTCATGACTTGAGAAGCATTTCCCTATTACATAGGTTCTTACAGGTCTAGACACAGGCTGTGGGTGTGTTGGGTCCCTGTGGTAAGCACCTGCTTTGCCTACTGGGTGTCCTGGTGGAATCTTCTCCCTGGACTTCTAACTGCTCCTCTCTCCTGGTATTTCATTAGCCTAGAAAGTCATTTTACCCTTAAGACCAAGCTGGAACCTTTGTGTGGCCCCAGGCCAGCAGATCAATAGAAAATGGCACAGACTGACCAGCCCTGCTAGATGTGCGGCATGAGCAGATTATTCCTTGCATCAATTTTTCATTTATAAAGTGGGCCAAGAGATTGCTAAGGATTGGAAAGGTTGCCCATGGGACAAGAGCTCTGAGTACCCAGAGTGCCACTGGTGCTGCTAGTGCTAGTAGAGGTGGCAGCAGTGCTGCTGGTGCTGGCTGGCATCTGTGAGCTTCACACTATACTTTTGTATATGGAAGAGCTAACTCAGCACAAGTAAGGCAGTATGCACCTCAGACATTTCCATACCACTAGGACTTCGGCTGCATAGTCTTTCTGGTGTATATGGATTGAAAATCCCACCATTACTCCTAATGTATGAGCTCTTGAATAGACCACATTTTAATTCTGCTCTGGTACTTTTTTATAAGGTGGGGATATTATCAGATGAGAAGAGTAGATTCAAAATATAGAGATACGTTAAGTATTAAGAGTGAAGTTGAAGTTAAGATCTTCTGTCTACAGACAGTTAAATTTAATATGATTGGTATCTTCAGTAAGTATTTCATTTACCAAAATAAATTCATTTTTATATCTCCAAAAATGTCTGAGTTTTTGATACTTTTAAAAAAATTGATCTTAGAAAAGTGACTTCTCTTGAGACTCAGCTTTGGACCATCCTCAGAGAAGCAAAGGACATGAAGTACGAAGGATATGAAGTTTGAAGAAAGGGGAGCAGGAACAGGCAAAGCAGAGACCTTATGTACTCAGGTGGAAAGCCGACGGGTGGGCTGTTGTGTGGTCCAGCTGGAGTGCAGGGCAGCAGCCCCTGAACTTGGGTTCTGTGGTGGTGGGTAGTCAGCTGCCACTAGCTACTTAGTGGTGCCTTTCTGTGTGCCCCCCATACTGGCACTGCAGATTCCACACCCAGCTCTTCTACTTCTCAGATATGCCCCACTCAGGCATCAGCCGTGCCACCATTTTCTGACAGTCCCTTCACCTGACTGTCCTGCTTTGCTTCTTTGTGCCCCTACTGCTATCAGCTCATTTAAAATTAGGGTTATTTATGGCTTTGTGCTCTGCTAAGAATTCTTCCCTGTGAGTCGTGGGATGGAAATAAACTGTTGCATCCTGTCACCTTTCCAACTCAGGATGAAGGTGCTGTTTGTCAGTGCAGAGCTGGTGTTCTGTGTCTGTGTCAGCTCTCAGCTGCTGCTGTTGAGCACTCCCTGCTACCACCCCATCAGTAGTTTTCTTAAATTCTGACCAGACCCCACTCATCTGGAAAACCTTCATCCCATCCTGATGCTTGGCATGCTTTCCCTAAAGAGTGGCTCTTGATATTGCTTACCTCTGTCACTGTACTATTGCCCTGAACTTGAAAGGGACCCAGCTTCCAGAGTCTTTCCCTGCGTGCCTGAGCATGGAGGTGGCCCTCAGGTTGCTGGTGCACAAAAAGGCCGAACTCTCCCCCCTCCCCGCCCCTGTAGTTGAGGATGTGCTTTCATCGTGCGCTTGCTTGGCCTTCCTCATTCCTCACATCCACGTGGATCTGCTGCAGGCTAAATGCTCAGTAACCCTTTAATGCCTTGTCAGTAAGTAACTAGGGAGACTGAATTTACTCATATTTTACAAATGTATATAATTTATGATGTGCATCAAGTGACATATGTACCATGAAGCAGATACTTGGAAATGTGGGAATAATGAGGCCTTGATTAAGTTTTCTTTGTAGCTTCCCCTCAGGTTGTCTTGAGTGAATAATTTTAGGACATAGATGATATTTCATCATGATCTTGGCATCACGGCATGACTTCATATGTGTTAGATGATTATAATACATATAGCATGGTGCACAGATACCTTTAAAAGACTTACAAAGAGTTGGGTGTTTTATGACATCAGGGCTCTTAATTCTGCTCTGCTCTTTGTAAGCTGATTAAAGAACTACTGTGTACTCTCAGTTCCTTTTGTTTTTTGTACAATGAAGTGCTGTGAGAGAAGACTGTATAACCAGTTTGGACTTGTATCTGGACTGAGATGCATTCCTTATACTCTCATAAAGCAAAGCCTCCATTGCCACCATGGTTCAGAATTTATAAGGACGCTGACATCTGAAAAGTTAAGAACATAGTTTTTAATTGTTGAAATTTCAAAGTCTTGATAATTCATGGTACCATAAAACATGGGAAAAGCAAATTATATTTTAATGGAATTAGATTGAAACAGTGATTTTTGTTTTTTAAAAATTACTTTATATCCTTATTTTAACTAAATGTATTTTTGATGTCTCTACGACAAATAAACTTGTCATAAGTGTCCAAAAATAGCCCACATTATCCTCCTAATGAAATAGTAGGGTTGACAGGGCCTGTGTAGCACAGAGGAGGTAGAACCGCCAGTGTCTCACACAGCACAAGCCTTTCCCCATCAGGGCAGGCTGCTCTCTGCAGACGGACACCAGCAGCTTTGGAGGAAGCTTTAGGTGCACTCAGGGCCTGTGTAAAGAATTACTAAGACATACAAATTAAGATTTGATTAAATGAAGGGTAATGTGTCTTGAATTAAAATGTCAATGAAATTAAAATAATAAAATTACTTATTAATTACTAATTAAAATAAAAATATTCTTTAAAACAAAATAATTCTAAACTTCATTTGTAAGGAACTTAAATTATTTGACTATGAACACACAAGAAATTTGGACAAACAGTAGTGAGAAGGGGCATGCCTGACCACAGAATTTTGTGAATAGTCATTGACTATAAGTCATTTAACATAATGTCAAATAGGTAGGTAGACACTCCTCTCTGTGTAATTCGCTGGTTTCCTTCAGCTTACCTTTTCTTGGTAGACAGACATTCAGAATGTCACAGAGGGCCTTCATAGTCCAGTGGGGTGAACAGCTCTGCAAAGATGTAAATTATGAGACAATTCAATAATTTATTAGAGAAGTAAGAAAAAAGTTCTCTTGGAACACAAGGTGAAGAGACTGAAATTCTATTGGATCAAAATACACAAATATTAAGTGTTAATTTTTAGAGTAAATAAGACATAAAGCAAGATGATACTAGATAGTAAGCACTTAATAATTTGTCTTGCTTCCCTTGGTGAAGATCATGTGTCTTGATTGATGTGCTTTTTCTATTTTATAATTTGCTTGTTTCCTTCTTAGGATTTTGCAGATTAATTCCTCATACACGTTCACCAGGTACTTGGACAATATATTTTGAAGGTGCAGATTATGAAAGTCACCTTATACGTGAGAACACAGAACTGGCAAGTATTTTGAGAATGTTAGATGAGCTATGACATAAAATATACTCCTAATGACGTGAGAATTTCATATAAACTTGTTCTTTGCTTATACTGAAAATTTTTTGATACAAAAATACTGTTTTTAGTACCAATTTGATTTAAACATCTTAAAGTGTGATTTGTGTAGATACATTTTTACATCTTTTTTGGGTAGTGAATAGTTTTGTGTATAAACAAAAGGTACTTTTTAAAATGCAGAATTCTTATGCTTATAATCTTGCTGATGTTAATGTTAATGAAATTTTTAAAACATTGTAATATAGTAGCCTTAACAAATGCTATAAGAAAAATATTTTTTTAGGCAAAAGTATTTTATTCTTGTGCAGTCCTCCTGTCTTGACTTAAATGTGTATCAAGTTATTCACGGATATTTTATATCCTTTGAAATAGTAGTAAAGCCCTTCACATGTCTTAAGGAAAATTCTACTTTATTTCGTACCAGGTTTTAAACAGTAACCAAAAAAAAAGCCCTTTTTTGTTTAGTAATTCAAAGTAACTCAAGTTGGCTTCCTGAAGTACTTTAGGTTTGAGTTATATATAAAAGCCAACTCCAAAAATTGAATTGATGGTTAGTCTGTTACACCAAAAATGTACTTTTTACTGACCTTACTTTGTCAAATCTGAAATAACAGCAGCAACTTGTAATAACTAGATTTTGAAGGAAAGCAAGTATCTTCTTAGAGGAATCACAAATTCTTCCTTTTTCTAATTTATTCTCTTATTTCAGACTTTGATTTTTTTAATTGTGATATTACCTAATTTTATTTTCTCTCAAAATATTCTCACACAGGCTTTGGTTATTTTCTTTCTAAATTAAAAAGCTCTGTGTGTAATTTCCACTTTGTGTGCTGTCATGTTCTGTATTTTGTTAAGTTCCCCATAGTGTGTGTGTGTATTACTAGTTTTGTTTTACAATTTTCTTCAGCTGTTGGGGTGAGGTATGACTTGAGTGTGACATGTGACTTCCATATACTGTTTCTTTCTTTGGCTCTGAGCTGCCTCTGGGGTCTGTAGTTAGTCCTCAGGTTGGTTCCCAGTCATGGAAGTTTTCCTTGGCAGAATACTCTGAGCACTGTTGTGTGAATCCTATAGCTGCTATGTTCTTGTCATTTAAAAGACAATGATTGTTCCTTTTTCCAAGGGACAAAGATGTCAGGTCACTTGTGTCGTGGCTCGCTTTGCTTTTTGCTGGCTTCCCTAGAGACAGTGTGAAATAAGCTTAACATGTCCCTGCTAGCTTGACCCACTGGTGATACACGTGTGACTGTTCAGTTGGGCATCTTGTCCTACTGGTGCTATAAGTAGGTCTAAACACTTTTATTGGGCTTTTTACTAATAAAATTAATTTTGAAAACTGTTCCCAGTTCCTAGTTTGAAAACTTAAGACTGGCATGCAGGTACCACTGGGTGGTTCAAGCTACCCAGCAGCGTGGTTCAAGCTACCTAGCAGCGAGACATGCAAGTTACAGTCCTGTCATGAATGTGTTAAATTTCTTGGGAAACAAAAAAGTCTGGTAATTTGTTTTGAAAAGTAGTAAGATAAAAATTGGATTTTTGTCTTAATGATGGCTTTTCTTTTCTTTTTTTTTTTTTCTTGGTACTGGGACTCGAACTCACAACCTCATGCTTGCCAGGCAGGTGCTCAGGCTACTGAACTAAATCCCTGGCCCTTAATGGTGGCTTTTCTAACCTGTTAGTAATACTGTTTTGTAACTCAAGTTCTTAGTGTTTAAAAAGCCAACATTTATGACCAGAGTTATCTTTCAGACTCTATATCAAGCGAAAATTGCCTGAGTTAGTGGATCTTTTCTAGTCTTCCCCTTTGTTTTCTATAGTACGCTTGACTGACTGGCTTTCTAATCATGTGGAAGCATTTCCATCTCAGCCGCAAACTAAGTCTTTGTTCTCATTCTTTAGGCCCAGCCTCTGAGGAAAGAACCTGAAATCATCACTGTGACCCTAAAAAAGCAGAATGGAATGGGCCTTAGCATCGTTGCAGCAAAGGTAGGGCTGTATGTGCCGTGTGATTGCTGGGCATTCTGTTCCCTAGGTAGAGTTGGCCACCATCAGGGCTGCTGCGGTGGGGGAATGGGCAGCATGGCTGCTGGGGCAAGGAATGTGCCACATGGTAAAGCCATTGTGCTTCTAGGTTAATAGAAAGATGAACTCTGAGAAGGTAACAGGATGAGTGATGCCTGGGAACCAAGCAGTTTTAAAAGGACAGACATCTTTTGATCAGCACCGCAAGGGGAAAAATATATTTCTTTGAGAGAATGGACACAGGTCTATTGCCTCCTCATCACAGGTCTCAGGCTTTCTCAGGCTTCGGTGGTCTGAGGGTCCAGGAAACTGTATAACACAGGAAGGGTTCTGGTTCTTATCGCAGAAAGTCAGAGATTAGGAGGTAGCCATAGGTGGTTTTTAGGAGATTGACTGCTCAGCCAGGCTCAAGAACTCTTGGGATTGGAGTCCCTTCATCTACTAGTCTGTGACAGGATATTCTAAGCCACACAAATCTTTTTCTGAATGATAGGGACTTAACGCTGGAACTTTAGGAGTACTAGTATCTCACGAGCCCTTTACTTGTTTATACTAAAGTTCATTTTGGAGTTACAACTGGGTATTTTCAGTGCAACTAACAAGATTCTTCAGGTAATAATTTATTAACTAATACTGGAGTCATCTATGCTAATATTTGCTTAAAATAACATGTTAGCACCAATACTGTTGCCTCTGTTCCTATCTCTAGGCAATGTATGAAGCTTTCAGATACTGTATAGCAGTATGATAACAATTTTCTCTGAATTGCGTGCTGTTAGTGTGTTCTGAAAAATGTTCTAAAATTAATATAATAACAGTGAAAATTTTTAGGTTGAAATTTATTTTCTATGTAACAGAATTTTAACATTTGAGTATTAATCAGAAATAAAAAGCTGTATGTGGTGACACATCCCTGTAGTCCTAGAACTTTGACAGATTGAGGCAGAAGGATCACTGAGTGGTTAAGGCCAACCTGAGCTGCAAAATGAGTTCAAGGCCAACCTGAAGTGCATAGTGAAACCCTGTTTTAATAACATGATGGATGAATGGACAGATGGACAGATGGATGGAAGGACAGACAGATAGTTAACTAGAAAGAAAGAATTCATTTAATTTAAAATCTGCAATTCCCATTGCCCAGGAAGCTGTAACATTTCAAAGGTTGCACTGAAACCTTTCAGTGGACATATTCCTACCCCATTTGTACACGACATGGGGCAGATCATGAGGTTAGCACTGTACCAAATACATGCAAAGGAATGAGGCACATCCGGGGTTCTGGCTCTTAACTAGAAGAAGTAAGCTGATGGGTGTACTAACATACCCTGTACTCTTCCCTCTTCTAGGAATCTTTAGCTCCTTGAGCTGCTTTTCAAAACAAAGCTTACATGTCCTACTTTCATAGGATTTCCCTGGCAGCTTGCCCGTTACCACTGTGCCCTGCATCAGGACACATCCCTCTGTGCCTTTCTTGCAAGCACTTTGCATAACTCGAATTAGATCCTTTAGGGTTTTGCTCTTTCTCATCATTAGCTGACTGGAGCATTTTCTCTCTAGTGTCCTTAGTTCCTAAATGCCTCAGTCCTTGGCATTTGGTAGGCAAAAAGTATTTTCCTAGAAGGGTAAATAAGCTGAAATAACTTTTCTTTTTATTTTAAAGAGTATTTGAGTTTCTGTCGTCTTTAATTCTGAAAGTTAATTGACTGTAATAAACTACCAACTGCATTAGAATAATAGTCACTAAGTTAGATTTGAGGAAAATGTTATCCATAGTCTTAATCATACCAAAATCTACTATGAGTACCATGAATCTCTATATATGAGAATTTATAGAAGTGGGGTAGGTGGCTGCTAATACAGCATGGGGATCATAGGAGAGGTGGGATCTCATCCAATCTTTGGAATGTTAGTAACTGGAAGAAGGTGTCCTGTGGGTCCAAGTGATGATGGAAGCAGCAAAGTATACACAGGTGTGAGGTGGGTGTGTGTGTGTGTGTGTGTGTTTTGACAGCCTCAGGTTAGCCGGCCAGGGAATAGGTGGGAGAAGTTCATATACAGACATTGTTGAAACTTGGTATAAATACACGAGGTGTCTTATGTTGTTGCCAGCACCTCAGAGAAAGATTTTGATGGAGCAGTTGATGCCCTGACACCTCAGGAAATTTTCTGGGCTTGATGTATAGGGTGCTGTGAGGGCCAGGCTGCAGGTGAAATTCCTTCAAGAGCAGCTGAGTCACATAAGGTCACCTGTGACATGCAGAAGGTACATCTGGAACCTCTGAGCTTAACTCACCATCCACAGTTCCTCTCATTCCAAGAGCTTTTGCTTATGAGCCACATTTCCAGACTTGGTCTACAACTCAGAACATTTGAAGATGTGAGAAATGAAGAATCAGCCATAGAATTACTTTCTCCCTTTGCTTACCAGCTGAATCAGGAACCATTTTCAGAGAAATAAAAAATTAGAATTAAAAATTACTCTCCCACACTCAGACACTATACTGGGAAGATTTCTGGGCTGGACATGAGCTTAGTAGTAGCACGTTCCTCTAGCCTTTGTAAGGCCTGGGTTCTATGCTTAACACTGCAAAGAAGAGCACAACAAAAGACTTAATCGCTGATCTATTTCATACATAGTCTTGTTTCTGGTCATCTTCCTGGAGATGAAGGGCTATGCAATGCGTTACGTTTATCAGAGTCTCTGTCTCTTCCAGTTTAAAAAATCTCTCAAAGATTACTGGTTTTCTAATCTAAAACTACTTAATCTAAAGTTGCTCAAGTCTGATTTATGTGCCATTCAGTGACTCATGGTTTCTGCTCCCTGATCTCATGTCCTGGCACAGAGGAACCAGTGTTTCCGTTAGCAGGGAGGGAGTAGGGCTTGGATTCCACTTGGCATTCCTCTGGTTTGTTTGTCTGGAGGTTCTCCTCTGTCCTTGTTGGGCTGCCAGGTGTTAGGTAGGGAGTTAGAACAATGAGCCAAGGTGAAAGTCACAGTTGAGTCTTTGTTCAGCTGTGCAGGCAAGAGGCCAAAGCAAAGGACACCGCCCCAATTGTGTTTTCATCAAGATGCTTCAAGTTATCAGCAGACAGGAAGCCTGTTACTATGAGGAGCCCTTAGGAAGTCTGTGCCTATCTATAGACCAGCACCAGTCTGAGGGGCAGACCCGTGACTAAGAGGGATTGGTGGGGTCACAGAGGACCCAGGGGTGCTGTGCTGCTTGAATTGTTCCATATCACCTCTGCCCTGCCTCACCACTATTGCCATGCTGCCAGCACAGCTGCCCTGATGTCCAGTTCATTGATCTGCACCTGATCCTCCACCCTGGCCTCTGCTGGCTATTCCTTTCCTCTAAGGGGAAAGCCCCTGAGCTGCTTTATCCTTTGGCATTTGCTTACATACAAAGAGGCCTCCAAGCGAAACCCAGCTTTTTCTTCTACATCTGTGACAGATCATAATTTTGTTCTAAAAGTGAAATGAATCCTTGCCATTATAAAAACCTTTCTCTCCTGTGATAAAAGGAGACCATAGTCAATATAGCCCAGTTACTAACTTCTAGGAGACTAATGTGACTAAGGGATCTGCAAAATTTGACTAAGAAACCAAGCAGTTTTCAGATTAAGTTCTTTATTAATTTTAGTAATAATGGAATAAACTTAATAAGAAAACAGTGACTAATTTTTCAGGTAGTATTTATTCCAGAATATTGAATACCTATTTGTGAAAAGTAGAGTGTAATTCTTCATACTTTAATTTGTAAATTTCTATTTTTCTTTCTTGTTTTCTGTACTGGAAAAGATATTTTAAAAGATTTTGTTTAGAATATTTGGGAATTACAGTGTTTTGACTTGTGCTTCAGGATTACAGAATTAGGGCTTTATGGAGTTTAATGATAACACAGGCTAGAAAGGTCTACATCCATGAGAAGTGTTTCTGTCAGCCAAATGTGGCCCAGCTTCTCTGGACCCACTGAGCCCCGCCTGTGAGTTCACACTTGCTCCCTGCCACCTGCCCCTTTGAGCAGGTGAGGATGGCTGCCAGTCTGAAGCAGAGAGCCCTGGGGCTCAGTATTGCCTGTTTCTCACCAGCTCCCTCCATCTATTCAGGGAACAGCTGGTTCTCTCCAGCATGGGGATGGTATTCACTTTGGTTTCCTTTCTGGTCTTTGCACATACTTTCCATGTGAATAGTGTACATGAATTTAAAACTGGTAGAAAAGTAAAGAGTTTCTGAAAAAGAGAGTCCAGAGCTAGTTCCAGGATTGGCTATAGCTTGCAACTTAATGAAAATATGTATGAATTTTATTCTCATGAAAGTTACTGTTTTGCCCAGTACAAGTTTCTTATATCGTGCCACACCCATCTGAAATAATAGGTGGTGGCTTTTACATACTCTTTGACCACTTGAGGGACAAGGAGAAATTGACAGCTGAGGAATAGCACCATAGGTTGCTGTTTACTCAGCATGCTTGCTGAGAAGGTGTCTGGAGTGTGATTAGAGAGATGGGGGAAGTAAGCTGAAGAGATGAGTCTAAAACAGAAACTTGAAGGGTCAGTAAGGGTTGCCAGAGGGCAGGGCAGGTAGAAAGTTTCAAAAGTAGGGTCGTGTCACTTGAGGAGTGGGGAAACTGAGTCTGTAGTCTGAGTAAGATCCTGCAGTTGTGCACTAGTTTTTCTCAGCAGAGGGCCAAGTTGTAAGCCCCCAGGGCTCTGCCACACTGAATGGTTATGCTGGAACTGATCCTGAAGACCTGTGTGCCAGGAAACTACAGGAACAGATGTGGGTTGCTGACCACTCCTTTACATAGTCTTGTGAAGCTGTGTCTCAACAGAGCCATGGGGTTTATTGCAGATAAAACAGGAGTCTCTGGGAATGTTTAAATCAAAATACAACAGGCCTGGAATGCATTGTAAATTTGATTCTTAACTACTCTGGGCCATGGCCTTAGAGACTTTTTTTCATT